CTTGACTGAGGTGACAACTGGTCCTTCAATTCCTCCTCCCTGAGTTGACTTCCCGGTATAGGTGACCTTGACAAGCTCGTCTGGGACTCCTAACGTGACAAGAACTCGGCAGAGGGTCTGTGCAAAACCCCCGAGCTCACGTAGGTCGAAAGTAAGCTTGGCGTGGTCCAGAGGTAGCGGTCCTAGAGGCGGCCATTCGACGTTCGTTGCCATCTGCATGTTTTAAGGAATAGGTGTTAGCAGGTCAATAAATAGATAAGCCTTGCATAAAAGTAAATGCAGGGTCGGTATATAACCGAAAGAAGGGCTGTCCACGTCCTATTTTATCGTCCATTTCTAAGGGTTTCGTCCTATGGTCAAGTATGGCTCTGATACCAACTGAAACAACCCTGATTTCCACGAAGGGAAATCCACAGAGTCAAAGTGTAATACGACCGTTGTAGATCATATTACCCAAATTCCAGTCGAATATCATATCCATACAACGATAATAACAGAGTACAAATAGTGCGAAATACATAAATTATTACATCGCCGCATTGGCGGAATCAAAAGTAGCATTCATTCAGAACAGCTTGAAGATAAGATCCCCAAACTCGAGCGTAGGCATGAATCCCTCAACCGCCAAACTCCTCGGAGCTATACTCCTCAGCAGAACCTGTGTGCCAAAATTTATCAGTATGATTTGTACTGGCCACTCCCAACCCTATGAGCATTGCTTTGTGGAAATTGGATGCAAATTGGTTATAATCAAGAGGAACCTAAAAGGCTAGGGTTTCCTATGCATTAACGTACCAAGTATATAATAATAGTTGGTCAAGTTTTAACACCACTCACATACATTCCTCCCCCATTCCCATTCTAGAGCCAGGTTTCGATCTTGGGATCGATAAACCACCATATCCACACCATCACCATACCACAGCCATACCATCGCTCAGTCGACAGGCCAACTCCCTCTCGGCACTGTCTCAAGGCCCGTAGCCCCTGGCTACGTCCGAACACTCAACCCAGGGGGAGAAAAGAAAGACTCATCTCACTATCTAGTTTAAGCGAAACCCAGGAAAGGTCCATTGCCGACAAGTCGGCATATGTATCGATCGATCAACCATACACTCTGTAGTGGTTTTACATAACCACAAGATCCACCTTCCTCGCTGATCGTCGTCAACTAGGCTAATTCTGGCCGCATGCTAGCCTAGGATAATGCCACTCTACCATTCAGCCCTGGTACACCCCAAGTCCGGTCTGGGGTGGCTGAAACTGTGAGTCATGAGCCGGGTCCACAAGGTCTCCATGAAGTCTCGGAAGGGTGTGGGGGAAATCCTTTGCACCCTGTACCTCCTTACACTGTCCGCTAACAACCTAGCAGTAGTGGCAATATCCTACCAAGTAGTCCGGCCGTCCCGCACCATATAGGGCGAGTGGTACGTAAGGCTTCCCGGTGAATCTGAGTACTAGTAAGTCCTTAGAGATGACCAAGCCAGAATGTCTTCATCAGGGTTTCCATTTACCATGCCACCACAGCACCTCCACCCTGGGCTCCTCCCATCACAGGATCACACCCAAAGCCACCTCTTATATCATTTACCCACCACAGGTATCCATCCTAGGGCTGCCCAGGTAGCACCCCATGGCATGACTTGCCCCAGGCTCGTTGTATACTCCAACTTGGTCGACACAACCCTCACCCTCCACGCACCCAAGTCACACACGCAGCACTCTCCCCATGGTCCAGATAACACCAGTTTCCACCACGCCTCCATATAGTGCAAGCATAGTAGAAGTAGTAAGCAATGAAATATATTAGCAAGCGCGTGACTAGCCTAACAGCAGGGTGAGCAGGGGTAAGGTTGCGTCAAGGTAAAGGCCATCAAGAAAGCATACTACCATGCAAGTCCTACCATAATGTGATCCTGACAATAAAGTAAGCGCTAGCATTTCTATATTAGCCATGCGTAATAGGTGCTACGAGATTGGGTGGGATGTGGCACCTTTAGTGTAGTCGTCTCCGTACTCCTCACGGTACTCACGGTCCTCGTCCGTCCGGTTCTCCTATGAGTCTGCAAACGATCGCATTATAGTCGCGTTAGCGACGTCTATGGAATAGCACAAAGAAGCAATGAAAATTCAAAAGAGCCAAATGCACTCAAACATGGGTTCATTGCGTAGAGCTCGATTTTAGATAAATTTTAGTCCTGGTTTCGTATTTTTCTGAGGTCGTATGAATTAGTTACGAATTTCCGAAGATTAAATCTATTTCTGAAAATGGAAAAAGGCTAAGTTAATCCTGGGCTGACACGTGTCACGCTGTGGTTGGTCCACGTGGCTTGCTGACATCAGCATGATGTCAGCATGACATCAGCATCATGGTTCTGAGCTGACAGGTGGGGTCTAGCTGACGTCAGCATGACGTCATCAACGTAATGCACACCGACAGGTGGGGCCAAAGGCTATTGGGTCACTGACAGGTGGGTCCGGTCAAGTCAACATCGGTCACCGTTAGTCAACAGTCAACAGTCAGGGTCACTGACATGTGGGGTCTGGGCTGCTGACGTCAGCAGCTGATGTCGGCGTGACGTCATCACAACGCCAGCATGACGTCAGCGTCTGACGTGTGGGTCCAGCAATACTGTGTCGCTGGCATGTGGGGCCAGGTCAACGGTCACACACGGGCCGGGTCTCAAACGGGCCGGTTGGGCTTCGGATTGGGCCGGTCTGGGCCGGGCCGGGCCGGACACGTGGCAGGCTGTGGCGCAGCCACATCACGGCCATGGGCTCTTACTGGGCCTCGTGCTTAGGCTGTGGGCGTGGGCGCGGCTCACGGTGGACCCATGTTTACGGTCCATGGACCTACGGCAGGGCGCATGGTGGACCAAGTCCACCGTCTCTTCTCCTTGGCTCGGCTCACGTGCACCGTGTTCACGCATGGGTGGCCGGTGAGGGGGGTGTTCCCCTGTTTCTTACCGCGGCGGTGCTCCTACCGACGGCGAGCTCACGGTGAGCCCCCGCGGTGGCGCTGGTGTCCGATTGGGGAGGGGAAAAGCTTCCCTAGGCCACGGTGACTGTGTCAGTGGGGTCAAAGTGGCGGCCAGAGCTTCCCCAAGGTGCTGGCCACGGCGAGCGGCGGCTTGAGCTCCACCGGCATGCGGGAATGGCGCGGGGCTGCGGCATAGGCCGGTTCTGTGGTGCGCGTGGGCGACACAACGCTCCAACGGGCATGTTGGGCAGGTCGAGGGGTCCTCCAGGGCCTCCGGTGGCTTTGGCCACGGCGGCGCCCTTCCGAGCTCGACGGCGGTATCGGTGAGGTGTCTATGGTCATGGTAAAACGTCTCGGCGGGGCGTGCACGCTTCTACGGATTCGTGGGAACACGGCGAAGTCATCCAGACTCAAGGCGAGGCTCGGTTCTCCTGTGGCCGGTGGGGACATCCCGGCGGCCACGGCGACGGTGAAGATGACGGCGAGGCACGTGGCCGCGCTATGACCACGGTGAAGCATCACGTTTGGGTGTGTTGGCTCCTACGGATTCATGTGGACGCGGCGAGGGCGTCCCGAGCTCTAGGCGGGGCTTCGGCTTCCCGGTGGTCGGTAGGGGCTCCAGCGGCCACGGCGACGGTGATGTCGGCGAGGCGCGCGGTGATCTATGGGGCTCCAGTGGGGTAGTCACGGCATGGTCACGATTGTGCACGTGGTGCGTGTGTTCCTAGTGGCCGGGGACAAGGAATGGCGCCCACGCGCCTGGTGTGTGGAGCGCCATGGCCGACGGTGAGGTTTGGCAGAGAGAGGATCGGAAGGCTCACCGGAGGTGTTGTGGGAGATAGGATGGCGGTGCGGTGTCAATTCGAGGTCATGTAGCTCCGGAAGCCGCAAAGGCATGCGTGCCGACCCACGTCGGTGATGTGGCCGACGGCGCCGCCCCGGCTCGGCGATCTCCTCCCCACGGGCGGCTTCGGGCGTTCTTTCCCCCTTCTTCCTCTTCTCCTCTTCTCTCTAGGTTTGGGTGCGTAGTGGATGGCCACCGAGGGTGGCGGCGGCAACGGACGAGCGCTTAGGGCTCTAAGGACCGTGGCCTTTATAGCCGAGCTCGGCCATGGAGCTTGGTGATCGGCGGACAGGGTTCAAGGGCAATCGCGGCGCTTGCTTGCATCCTACGGCCACAAGGGGTTGCGTGGGCGTGGCGCCAAGGGGGAGACAGGACCATGCCCCGGGCATGACCCCCTGACCCGCCCTGCCACCATTGTCGACGTTCTGTCGGAGGAGAGATTCGGCGTGGGCGAGGTAGAAGACGCCATCTTGTCTTGGTGAGTGGGTGGCGCATGAGGTCCAATGGGCAGCGGTGCAAGCAAAGCAAAGGCAATGTGGGTGAGGTGGCGTGGTCGACGGTATGTAATAATGTGGCAAATGATCACTGTAGGTGACAGGCAGTGCATGCGTGAGCGGCCCATTGGGCGGGCTTTTTTTGGGCAGCGTCTGTGTGCTTGAGGCTTCTTGGCGGCCAGTGGCCGAAAGGGTCGAGCCTGCGAGGCCTTCTTCTTCATTTTTCTTTTTCTGTTTTACATTTCTTTTCCATTGTTTGAATTTCAAATTTGGTTTAGAATTTGAATTCAAAACTAAGGTAACTTATTCATTGGAGTTTAGAGAATTTTGTTTAATAATAACTTTATGATTTATTATTTTAATGAAATTGTTAGGCACAACATAAAACAAATGGAAATCCAATTCACAACTTGAATTAACAATGTATGCAACATGCTATTTGTTGGAATTTTAATAATCATAATCAATAAATGATATGTCATGCTTATGTGTTGACTTAGGTTGGGTTACTTCTAATGCAACTCTTAGGGTTGGTTTCTACAATGTCACTTATCATCATATGGGAGTTTTAAGAAAAATTTTGTAGTTATAATTTTTGGTGTGTGGATTTTTAAGTTGTTACACTTTGAGTGCTGAGTTCGACGGCGACGCGGCGAGAACGCCGGTGGCTGAGTTCCTGAAGATCGTCCATGGAGTCGCCGGGCTCCGGCACCCCAACGTGGAGGAACTCGTGGGCTGCTGCGTGGAGCACGGCCAAAGGCTGCTCGTCTACAAGCACTTCAGCGACCGCACTCTGGATGACATGCTGCGTTTCGAGCACGGGGCGTCTGAAGCTGGCGACACCCTTCGCTGGGATGCTCGGATTGCTGTGGCCCTCGAAGCCGCGAAAGCACTGGAGTACGCCACCATGGACACACTCTGCTGCTTGCGTTGTTGAATTTGAATCCAAGCTAGTGTAGATGTTACTGAATGCGTGAATGAATCCAAGCTAGTGTTTTTGCTGATGAGCCTGTGTCTGTGCCTGGTGTGCTTTGCAAGGTATCTTCATGAGGGCGCCGGGAAGCAGGTGGTGCACCGGCATTTCAGGCCTGAGCACGTCCTGATCGACGGCGAGCTCAGAGTGTCGGTCTCCGGATGCGGCCTTGCTCCGTTCGTGCTTCAGGTAATAATACTCTCATCCGAAGAACATTTCGGAACTTCCGAGCTCCTTGAATCCAATCGTGTGTGCAAGTGTGTACTGTTTGTCTGCTCGGCTTCGATTCAGCTGTCGGATTACTGCGGCGTGACGCTGAGCTACGAGCCGCCGGAAGCGGCAGGCGGCGGCGGCGCGGCGTGGACGCCCAAGGGCGACGTCTACAGCTTCGGCGTCGTGATGCTGCAGCTCCTCACCGGGCGCAAACCGTACGACAGCTCGCGGGCGCGGGGCGAGAGGCACCTGGTGCCGTGGGCGAGCGCGCGGCTGTACGACCTCGCTGCGCTGGGGAAGATGGCCGACCCGCGCCTCGCCGTGCCGCCGCCGCTGGTCAGGTCGCTGTCGCGCTTCGCCGACATCATCAACCGGTGCATACAGGTGAGTCGTCGTCCCGCACCTCAACGACGCGCGCGGCCGTTGGCCGATCGATCGATCGATAAGCTTGATTCCTCTGATTGGCGTGGCGTTGGCAGCAAGAGGCAGAGTTCCGGCCTGCCATGTCGCAGGTGGCGCAGGACCTGCGGCGCGCGCTGGAGGACGCGCGCGCGGGCACGGGGACGGGGTGCTCATGCTCGGCTCGCCGATGGACTTGCTGTGTCACCTCACGCATGGAACGGAGCTGCACTGTGTGATGTGCTCAGAACAGATCGTGCCGACGCATCAAAGTCCAGCGGTTAACTGACGCGATGCGACTATACGTGCTACCATGTAAATTTGATTGAATTGTTCTTTTTCTTTCTTGTACAAAAAGAACGATGAAATTATATAGAACATGTAAATTTGATTGTATTGTTCTTTTTCTTTCGTGTACAAAAGAATGATGTAACTATATAGAACAGGTACAGCAGCCAAAATTGATCGTCCTGAGTTTGCCGAGCAAGCGTTGTACCACAGGTTCATTTCTATACTTAATTTTAGGGGCCTAGTGCCAAAACTTCACATCACATGTTTTTGAGGTTTCTCTTTGAAAACATCGTTTTTTTTGTATTGGAGCCACACAATCATTGCATTTTAGTTTACTGTCCTAATAAAACTAATTGTTGGGGATGTGTCATAACGTTGGGGACCCCACCATCTTATTCCGGGCCCAATTACGTAGCAAGTGTGTCTGTCATCTTTTCACTATCTTTATGCAATTTCTCTCCCTTTGTCATTAATGACCACAAATGTTCAATTTTGGAGATGTCAAGATTATCAATGTCAATCAATGGGATGAGGATAATTTTCTTAAATTTGGTCTAATCTAGAATACTTGTCAAAGATATTTTACTCGGTTTGATCCAAGAATAAGTTTTTTCACACCTTATTTCAAGGGTTATCTTGCACCTTGTTGAGTTAAACACTTATAGCTCATTTTTTAGATCAAACTCTAGGTTCACAAGCCCACAAACATGTCATATGTTACCACTAGATCAAGTCAAGCATAGAAGCAATAGTAGCATACAAGTATCAAATTCATTTGATTTTCATGAATGAGCCTAAAAGACATGAGGAATGACTAAATGTACTAAACATGTCCTTAGTAAGGATATATGCCATGCCAATCAACTTTTACCTTGGCTGCTTGAAGAAGAGACATGTTATATAAGTGGGGGTGCATCAACACATATTTGAGAAATCAAATATGCTCAACTCATTTCTTAGCTTGCAAAACATTTTCTCATCCAATGGCTTGGTGAATATATCGGTAAGTTGATCTTGATGCCCACACTCTCAATGCAAATGTCCCCTTTTTGTTTATGATCTCTAATGAAATGGTGGCGGACATCAATATACCTTGTTCTTGCATGTTGAACAGGATTGTTGGTGAGCTTGATTACACTCTCATTGTCATATAGCAATGGCATTTTATTGAACTTGATTCCAAAGTCATTCTCTTGGTGACGCTTGAAATCTCGCACACATGCACACACTAAATATGACATCCGGCCTTGATGCGGTCACATAGAGTAGGCTTCCAATCATAGACCGATATAACTTTTGATCCACCATGTTACCACTTGCATGACTATCCAAATTTCTATTTATTCCCATTGGTGTGCTAATGGCTTTGCTATCACTCATGCCAAACTTCTTGAGCATGTCTTTGATGTACTTGCGTTGACTCACTAATGTACCATTTTTCAATTGCTTGATTTGAAGACCAAGGAAGTAACTCAACTCTCAATCATGGACATCTCAAATTCATTGGCTATCATCTTGCCAAACTCTTTACAAAAGTCTTGATTAGTTGATTCAAATATGATGTCATGAACATAGATTTGCAACATAAACAAGTCCTTGCCAATCTTCTTGGTGAAACGAGTGGTGTCAACATTGCCCATCAAGAATCCTTTAGAGAGTAGGAAGTCCCTCAACCTCTCATACCATGCTCTAGGTGCTTGCTTCAAGCCATACAATGCCTTCTTCAACTTGTACACATGGTCGGCTTTCTTGTCATCTTCAAAAACGGGAGGTTGTTCAACATATACTTCTTCATTGATGTAGCCATTTAGAAATGTACTCTTGACATCTATTTAATAGAGCTTGATGTTGTGGACACAAGTATAGGCTAGCAAGATTATAATTGCTTCCAATCTAGCAACTAGGGCATATATTTCTCCAAAGTCAAGACCTTCAACTTAAGTGTATCCTTGTGCTACCAATCTTGCTTTGTTCCTTACTACTATCCCATCTTGATCTTGCTTGTTTCTATAGACCAATTTGGTTCTAATCACATTGTGTCCCTTTGGTCTTTCCACTAACTCCCTACTTGATTTTTAGTGAAGTTGTTCAATTCTTTATACATAACATTCACCCAATCAACATCCTTTAATGCTTCATCTATCTTCTTTGGTTCAATGGATGACACAAATGAGAAATGCTCACCAAATGAAGCCAATCTTGATCTAGTTTGTACACCTCTAGAAATATCTTTAATTATAGTGTCTAATGGGTGATCTCTTGCAATATTGGTTTGTTGGAGTGTTGGAACTTGATTGTTTGCACTTGCTTACTCATTGGATTGAGATAATGTACTAGCCACTTGATCTTGCATATTGTCATGAGAGTCACTTAAACTTGCTTGATTAGTGTCAACTTGCACATTTGAGTTAGAGAGCACTTGCACTTGATCTCCTTCTTCATCAATCACTTGCCTAGACCTCAATTCACTAATATCCATATTCTTCATGGTATTTGAAAGTTGAATGCCTCTAACATCTTTCAAATTCTCATTCTCATCTTGTGAACCCTTGGTTTCATCAAATTCAACATCATGTACTTTCTCAAGAGTACCACTTGTCAAATTCCAAACTTTATATGCTTTGCTTGTAGTGGAGTAACCAAGAAAGAATCATTCATCACACTTCTTTTCAAACTTACCCAATCTAGTGCCTTTCTGCAAGATATAGCATTTGCATCCAAATACCCAAAAATATGCAATGTTGGGCTTTTTACCATTCAAGAGCTCATATGGTGTCTTCTCTTTCAATGGGTGATAATACAGGCGGTTGCTACAATGGTAAGTCGTGTTGATAGCTTCAGCCCAAAAGGATTGACTCACATTGTACTCACTCAACATTGATCTTGCCATGTCAATCAAGGTTATATTCTTCCTCTCAACAAGGCCACTTGATTGTAGAGTGTACTTGACCGAGAATTAATATCTAATTCTAAATTCATCACATAACTCATCAATTCTAGTTTTCTTGAACTCACTACCATTGTCACTTCTTACTCTCTCGATGGTTATTTCAAATTCATTGTGAATGCCTTTGACAAATGATTTAAAAGTTGTAAATACATCACTCTTATCCACTAGAAAGAATACACAAGTATATCTTGTATAGTCATCCACTATCACAAAGCCATATTTGTTTCCACCGATGCTAGTGTATTGTATTGGCCCAAACAAATCCATGTGTAATAACTCAAATGCTTTACTAGTGCTCATCATGCTTTTCTTAGGATGGGTATTTTCAACATGTTTGCTAGCTTGACAAGAGCTATAAAGTTTATCCTTTTCAAACACAATATCTTTCAAACCTCTAACCAAGTCATGCTTAACCAATTTATTCAATTGTTTCATTCCAAGCAGATCAAGTCTTCTATGCCATAACCAACCCATACTATACTTAGTGAACAAGCATGTTGACAATTGAGCTTCACTAGCATTGAAATCAACCAAATATAAATTCTCAAATCTAAAGGCTTTGAAGATCAAGTTAGAACCATCTACACTTATGATCTCTACATCATCTACCCCTAAATATGCATTTTAATCCAAGATCACATAATTGAGCCACGGATAGCAAATTAAAGTTCAAGCTCTCAACTAGCAACACATTGGATATGCTCATGTCGTTGGATATTGCAATCTTACCAAGCCCTTTGACCTTGCCTTTGCCATTGTCACCAACTGTAATACTATTATAACCATCATTGTCATTGGTATTGATTGAATTAAACATTCTTGCATCACTGGTCATGTGTTGAGTGCACCCACTATCAAGAACATAATGCTTTCCTCCAGCTTTGTAATTGACCTATAAAAGAATATCAATTCTTTTGAGGTATCCAAACTTGCTTAGGTCCTTGAAGGTTAGTGACCAAGCTCTTTGGCACCCAAATGGTTTTCTTCTTTGAGCCCATCCATGGTGCACCAATGAACTTAGCCTTCACACCTTTTGTACCCTTAGTAAGCACATAGAAAGATTCAAGCTTAATTGAGGATACATTAGCATTCTTGTTCTTGGTCTTGCACTCATACTCTTTATGACCAACTTGCTTACAACTAGTGTAAAACCGACCATTGTTCTTCACAAAACTAGTCTTGTGAGGAGCAAAGGCTGTCTTGCCTTTCTTAGGAATATAGCCTAATCCCTCTTTATAGAGAGAAGCTCTTTGGCTACCCAAGCACATAAGCAAGTGGTCCTCACCACCATAGGGCTTGCCTAAGGCGTGAGTGAGCTCATTGACCTCCTTCTTAAGGGTCTTATTCTCAACCATTAGTGAGGCATCATGAGTGAAACCATCACTACTAGATGAGGTAGAAGTATATGTTCTACAAGAAGGGTTAGTGGGAGCAACAATGATGGGCTTATAGAACGATTCATCAATTATATCATAAGTTAAGCCTTTGTCATATGTTACAACATGCTCCTTCTCATTTTGCTCATTAAGTAGAGATGAATGAGCTTTCTCAAGCTTCTTGTGAGCCTTGCTAAGCTTTTCATGGTCTTTCTGTAGCCTCTCATGAGATGCATTGAGCTCATCAAAGGCTTGCTTAAGGACTTTTAGTTCATTTTGCAAGTCTTTGCATTCATTTCTCTTAATGTCAAAATGTTCTTTAGCATCTTCTAACATGTCAATTAGTTCATCTTTAGTTGGTTCATCATCATTGTCACTTTTACTTTCATTATCATGTTTCTCATCACTTCCATCATCACAAGTTTGTATCTTAGTGGCCTTAGCCATGAAACATGATAGAGTGTCAAAGAGAGAAGGCATCTCATTGATAGCAATGTTTGCAAGAGCCTTCGTTTTTATGGTCTTGTCATCATCACTATCATCATCATCACTTGAGGAAGCATCACTATCCTAAGTGACCACATATGAACCACCTTCTTCTTCTTGAAGGTCATCTTGCTTT